AAGATATTTTCAACCTGTTCAAGTAGGTGCTCAAATTCGTGCTCCAGGGTTAAAAGTGATGACATCACAAGGTGTAGAAAGGGTGTGGGTCCCCATGGGCGCATACGGGCGCACTGGATGTCAATGGGTTAATATATTCAGTCCTTTAATATATTCAGCCTTTAATATATACAGTCCTTTAATATATTCACTCCTTTAATATATTCACTATTTTAATATATTCAGTACTTTAACATATTCACTCCTTTAATATATTCAGTCCTGTAATATATTCAGTCCTGTAATATATTCAGTCCTTTAATTAGATGCTCATAAACACAGTAGGCAATATTCTTTTTTGAAGAAATGACTCTCCATACTTTACCACTTCACATTACTTAGAAGGATTATTTATTATTTGAAGTGAACATTAATCATTGAAAAGAGTTTCTTTAGTTAACTTTACAAAAATGTATATGAAAATGTGGACACTGGAAACTGATTTTTAAACCTGTTTTGTTGTCTAATGAAACTCTTTCCCATTAACCTGGAGCAGTTGTCAACAGCATGTGCAGTTTCTGTTGGGTAATTCAATCACTGAAATGAAATGTCAGTTGTAGTATTGAAGCAGAGAATGGTGTCCATCTAATTGATAGGGTTTATATACTGGGACCTGTTCATACTGGGACCTGTTCAAAGGGCAGGTAATGCTATCCAACAGATAAATTGTTATCAAGCTGTAAAGGGTTAACAAAAACATACTGCTCTATCCACCTGATAGAGATTTAGTCAGTGGATGGCATTATATTCCCTTCAAACAACAATGGGCAGACCAAAGCTGCCCTGAATAAGCTGGACAGAGTTAGAAACTGCACGTAAAAATACCAATGTAACAGTGCTTTCAATAAGACCCGGCACCCACCAGAGCTCGGGTGGGTATTCTTTTGTGCATCACTGGATATATTTCACCACGCCCAAGTTGCTGTCACCGTGTTCAAGTCATGCTCAAGTCGCTCTGTGGCGGGTGCTGTACCAAAGTAGCCACCTATTTCAAATCTTATTGAAAGCACTGATGTAAGTTGCAAGAGGTCATGTAGAGAATGTAATTTTAGCTTTCTTTGGTCAAGTTTTGGAGGTCAGTTGCTTATTGATTAAATTCAAAACACAAATTTAGATGTACACAATTTAATCAAATTTTGAGTGTCCATGGGTATTTCAGAAAGCTAGAGAGGAGACTGCAGGACCAAAGTGGTTTAATCTACCAGCAACTCAGATTACGCCAGAGATTGAACGTGACATGAAGTTAATGAAGATGAGAAATGTTTTAGACAAGAAACGCCATTACAAGAAGAATGATTCCTCGGCATTACCCAAGTATTTCCAGGTATCATGTGATACTAACTATAATTTAAGTCCATGGCATTAAATTAAGTATGGTAGGTGTAATTCTTTCAAGAAACTAAAAGGGCCAACCATATTTTCTTGGATTTTATTTACTATTTTGTATAAGCATTACTGATAGTTTAAAACTACCACACAAAGCACCGACTTTTGAGAAAAGGTGAACAAAGGGAAAAAAATGTTTTTATTCCCTAAGGCCTGCTGTCTTTGCAGTAAACAATGCTTCAAGGTCATTCCTTCCAAAATAAAGCTGTGCTGAGATTGTCAAACCCAATTTATTTGTTGCGTTTATTATAGAAACTATTTGAAGTACATTTTTAAGGGGTCCTCTAACTTGCTGAAGAGAAGTAACACCTTTAAACTTCATTTATTTCCTTGTGATATTATATGATCATATTTAAGAGTACTGTTGTTTCAGACTGAGTACCAACTGGTAATGTGTATAATTTATCATTAAACAACTGTTGCTGCTGGTAATGGGAAGATACAGGTTGTTTACTTGCTAAATTCACAGTTGTGAATGTAATAGTGGAGTAATGTGCACACACTTATGGTGCATGGAACTATGTGGTTGACCAGGTTGATGGTAAGGAGTTTATTGTTATGGACACTGATGTATCATCATAAGGAGGTCTGTTACTAGAAATGTACAAAAAGTTTTCATAGATAGATAAGTATTTATTTGGTAATTTTGTTTAGATTGGTACAGTGGTGGAGGGTTCAGCAGACTTCTATTCATCTCGAATTCCAAAACGGCAACGAAAGACAAACATGATAGACGAGCTTCTTGCAGATGCTGAATTTAGGAGGTATGGCAAATTAGTCAATTATTGTGAGGTCAATGGTGAGGGGTAGTAAATAAAAATTGTTTGATATATTTAGGTATCTGAATACAGATTTTGTTAAGCTTTGTTGAATTTCTTCTGATATTCTTCCATGTACCTTGCAATAGTCCTTTGTTTTGAATTTTTTTTTTCAGTGAACATTAATATGCATGAACTGCTGTAGCAAGCTTTCTTTTCTTGATAAAAGGAACATCTCATGAAGACATGGACAGATACCATGCTTTAGCTTACCTTCCCAATGAAAAATACATTTAAGGATTGAAAACTATGATATTGTCAGAAGGATTACATGTATAGTGTAATGCATTGTTTTTCTCCATTGCAGATACAACAAGAAAAAATACTTAGAAATTCAAGCTGCAAAGCAAAGTGGAAAGAAAGGATTTTATAAAAAGAAAAAGAACAAAAGAAAACCAACTTCATTGAGAAGTTGAGGCTGTGACTGTGACCTTAACACATTTTTTACAGACACAATGGGTCACTTTTCAAATATTTATCCATTATTGACTTGTCAGTAATGTATATTTTATTTATAATCAGGATGAAAGGCTATGCTATCAAATCAGTAAATAAACATTTCAAGGTTCTTTCAGTGAAATTCAATTTTAGATCTGCAAAGTTTTTTGGAATCTTTACCTTAGAAATTATGTACATGAATACAATGAAATTAGATCAATCTTCCTGACCCTGAATCATTACTCAAAGGATGGGAGGGTAGTTTTGTAGGAGTAAATAATAGTATTTGACTAAATTCAAAGCTGATCTCATTGCATCATAATGATGACCAGAAATGACCAATAAACAATAATCCCTTATTTCTAAATTAGTCAGATGAGTTCATTCATTTACTAGCTCTTTTTCTATAGCTACTACAGAACAGACAATACGCATCATATAGATGGAATAAACTCATGGTTGCCACATTCATAAGTTTCAGAAATTTCCAGACTGACTGAATTGCCAATTTCCCATGAACAACCTTTAATCTTTCCTTACAGCTTTCCTCTCCAACCATAAATTTATGCTTTCAATGAGTCAGTCATGTTCAGTGAGAATTGTTTGATAGTTCCCTAAGTACATGGAGAAAGGATTTACTTGCTCTGAAATCCATTATCAGTTTGTCATTAAATTCAGAAAACAAGGCCATTGGCATCAAAACCAGAGGAAAGAAGGTACTAAGAGATTCTCTTCAACTTGAAGGGATGCATGCAACTACCCTGCAGATTGTTCCTGAGTTAACAGTTTCTGCTACCCCAAACACATCCTTGGTCATTTTGCAGAAACAAAATGCAACCATAACTGATACCTTCTGTTCATGCCTAACTGGATCTGTCATTGCTGCTGAATGATTTCACTTGCTCTTCCACTAACAGTAAATGGTGATATTTATACTTTTGAGCTTTAAATTCAAATAACTTTGCAACCAAAGTCTGCTAGTCTAGTGCATAACTTCATAAGGAATTAGAATGTTTCATTTTGTCTACAAAACACAGTCTCTGTTGGTTCTTTCAATAATTGCTTGATTTGCTTCCACTAGAGCCTTTTGTAGCTGTTCATTTTCATTTTTAAGCCTTCCATTTTCCTCAAGAATGGACAAAAGTTCCTTTTTACACTTCAAGCATAATCTGGCTTGACAAGCAAAGTCTTCCTTACAATCTCCACTTTGCTCATACATACAGTATGTGTGATCATTTTCCAAGGCATTTGAAATAGATGCCAAAGACTCAGTTGTTTCCTCTGAATTTTCCTCAAGCAAAACTTCAGCATTTTGTCCACGTAAAACTCCTTCATTGTCTTCATGAAGAACTTCAAGCTTTTTAAATTTCCCACTGCTTGTCTGGGTATGAGTTGCATCTCTTTTAATAGCATCTGTCTGAGTGGTTATGGACACGTCACTCTGTACATTAACATCATACAAGGACTTCATAAGTCTTGAAACTTCTTCATTAAGAGTTCCCTCCCCTGTATCATACCCGTTCAGCCACAGCTCAGGGTGTGAGTGGTCTCCCAATGGTTTACCAAATACAAAATGATTACTGCATACCTTTGTGTTTTCTGTCACTCGAAAGTTATTGCGGTTGATAAGTTGCTCCCATAATTTAAAGTGCTTTTGATTTGGCTTATGCCACTTCATACAGTGTATATGGGGTTTAACAACCCACCTGCAATCAAGCATTTACATCATCTATCAGAAGTTGTTTGCAGAAGCTAATATTTACCCTATGACCCCAAGAGTGACTTGCATCTAATTTCTCTAAAATATCACTCCTGAGTCGCACATTTGAGTCATGAGAATACAGGGAATGATCAACAAATTGAGAACCTCGATGGCAAAACATATTCTTCTTTTCAGCACCTCAAGAAATGTAAAGAGAACAGTATGGAGAATTTGGATGCAGATGTTGGGGTGTAAAGCGTTAGTATGTAAATCGAAGAAAAAACTTGTAACTCCAGACAAAACAAACTAACGAACGATGCATAAAACGTACAGATGTTAAAAAACTACACCACAGTTCTATGTACTGTACTGACAAACATAAGCACATACAGGCTTGCAAATTTCCAGGAATTCGGCATCAATTTCTGAGAATCATACGCCAAAAATTATACCTTTCTGGATATCTCCGATCATTTCGACATCCAAACACGGCACAATGGTCACCTTTACCCATTATAATTGGCGATATCGTCACGTCCAACTTGAAATCTTCACTAGGTCACAACGTCAACCAAAGGCGAACGGCGAACACCATGCCCCTTATGTTACCCATAGTCCCTTGCGAATCAATTTATTCAATATGGCGTCTAACATCCTTAACAGGATTGTGAGTGTTTGCCTGAGAACACAACACAGTGAACCTTAAAAGAAGCTATAACTCACGTTCTCCCTATTTTACGATCAAAAAGAATAAACAGAAAAGACAATCAAGCTGATAAAAACCGCCAAAAATGGGTATAAAAAGATAGTGCTGATATTTCATGATCCTTACATTGAAATTCAAAGGGTTTCATTAAATCCGCTGCTTGGTAAAAAGTACGCTGTTTCCGCTCGCTTCCGCTGTGTTACTTTGAAGTTCCCATAGCAACCACTACCATAATCGCCATGATGTTTTTAGTGTAAGCGTGTCAGAGTTGTAGATTTCATTCGAAGTTATTTACCATTTAAAAATACTCTTCGGTAGTTTTGAGTCATGCCTCCGAAAAAGAAGGGAAAGAAGAGCGGAAAGAAGAAGAAGAGCGGCAAAAGGAGTGCCAAAAAGTCACCTTCTGCTGCACCTTCAAGTGATGTGCTCAATGAACTTTCCAAAGAATATTTTCTTCTACAGATACGAGATTTAGAAGGAAGGTTAGTTCGCTATCAGAAAAAATGCGACGAACTTGAAATTGCTAATCAGGAGTACAGATCACATTATGAACAACAAACGACAGATAAAAGGGAAATTGTATCGTTTTTGAAGAAACAGTTGGAACAAAGAGCCGACGAAATTGCTGACCTACAAGATCGTTTAATAGGATTACAGCAAGCCAAGGATGGCGAGAAGGATCAGTACGAAGTACAATTGGCAACCTTAAGAACTGAAATGCAAGAAATCAAGGACCAGTTAACTTCAGAAAATATGGTTCTGGGCGGAAAGTTAGCCTCCTTGGAAGAATTCCGTGTTCAGAAAGAAGATTTGATGGCAAAGTTTGCGAAGATGGAAGAAGAATTGGAAAAACAGCAGAAGGATCATAAAGAGGTTATTTACAATCTGGAGAGGAAAGCCGTCGTGGACAAGGATAGGTCTGTAATTTTAATCTCTTTCTAAGAAATAAATACACATTATCATGCCTCCTCGTCAAAGTAATTTGAGAGTGAAGGTAGAGTAGGAAATATTTACAACGGTTCAAAGGGTCAGTTGAACATTAAGAAATTTATAACTTTGTTAGGCTTAAATTTTGAGGTGATGGAGATGAAAGAACTTCTGAAGGTGTAGTTAACTTAGAGACAGGAGGGAAATTGCGTAGATACAAGATACTTAACCACAGAAAGCACGACAGAGTAAATCCACACTCAATGTCCAACCTGTACTGTTTCAAAAATTTTACCGACCCAATCACCATTGATTGGTGATGGTTGGAAAAATTTTGGAGACATGGTAAGAAAAGTTCAGCTCCTTGTCCAGGGTTGATCATGTCTACTATACTGAAAATATAACCAGTTTGTTATGTTTCTCCTGAAAAAAAGGGGCATGTTTCTCCCTTAACAGTCTTTTACACTTAATGCTGAGAGGCATGTATTTTTGTAAAGTAATGAACAGAGCAAGTGAGCAGGCTCAAAGGAGTGCTGTGGCACAAAGGGTCAAAGTATGAGCTGTTAACTGTTGAGAAATGTGCAAGGCATCTGGTCATTTATCATGGCAGACCATTATCACAGTGATACCTATGCAAGTTGCCTTTTACCTTTGTACATAGATTAAAGAAAGAGATGGTGCTAAGACTGAACCAAGTGGCTGCAGAATTTAGAAAAGTATCAAATAAACAGATGGCTGAGACAACCAAAAGAACAATCAGAGAGAATGTTTCCATCAATGCTCAGCTGGCCAAAATGTCTGATAAAACCATGGAACTTATCCAGGAAAATGACGAACTTCGAACTAAGGAGAAAAAAATGAAAATGCAGGTTGACATGTTGGAACATAAAGAGAAAGAGCTTGCTAAGAAGAACAGTAGTAATCAAAAGGTAATTACAAACAGTAGACAGTATTGTACAGTAAGCTCTGTGCAATTCTCTCTCTCTTGCAGTCAGTCAATACGACTATGACAGTCCTTTGGATTCAGCTTTAGTTGGATAGCATTTCTCCATGCTGTTCTGTTATTGGCTGTAGTTTGCCAGGATTTTCAGTCTATGTTTCTCCACTTCATATTTTGTTTCTCTACATCCTTGTATCTGAGTCTAGGTCTTCCTTGGTTTCTGATTCCTTCTGAGTCCATTTGATGTTCATGATGTCTCTCAGGTGTCTCATCGTGTTGGCGTGTAGGCCTGTAGGCATGTAGTTTGTAGTGTCTTAACCTGTGACCAGTCACCTGTATATTGTCCATCATACTTCTGCTCCTTCTGTATAATTTAAAGTGATAAAAAAAGTTGATAATGGTAACTTTTGCATGATATTTTGGGCACAAAATAATTAAAGATCAGCAGTAACCCAGTGATAGCTCTGGAATCTTTATCCATGCACCTTTGTTTTTTTCATTTCAATTGTCATTCTTAGTGTGTATCACATGTGATGAGCTGAACTGGGATTAATAAATAAAATGGTGTTTAAATGAGTGTCAGCCACCAGTCTATTTATTACAAGCTGGCAAATTTCTGCTTGCAGCACTGCTTTTCATTTGGGCAGGCCCTCCACCTTATTCATTATTTTCATCTAGACCACAAGCTTAGTAGGTCATTGTGATCTGAAAAGATAAACTCATCCTACATGTATTTCAGTCTACTGTTAACCATGAAATATGTCAAAGCATCTCTATCTCTTCAAGGTCTAAGTTTTAAATGGCAAGGCTTACGCCGGCAGTGTATGTATTCTTTCAGATTATCCGTATGTTGGCAGAAAAAGCGAAGCAACAAGAAGAGATGTTACTTGAATATGAGGAGGGTGAGGCAAACAGAAAGGACTTGGAGAGTGAACTTGATCTGCTGAGAGCTCAGGTTGACAGTATGAAGGCCGAGCTTAAGGTCAGTGTGATTCCTTTAGTTTTTATTTTTTTTTTTTTGCTGGAAGTACACTCAAGTTGATGTGCAAAGTTGTTTGAACTTTAATTATCAACTGCTTTTAGTATGTATCGCTTGTCACATTTCTTAGTCACAGAGTTTTGAATTCTCTGGTTGGTTTTCCATAAAATATGCAACCATGCATCTACTATGAGACTCTGAAACTATTCATCCACCTTCAATTTGATTGACTGCACTGTGGTCACTAACCATATTAAATATCAAGAATCCACAAACAGTTGCAAAATTTTGTGAGTCTTTTAATTTTTCCTTAAGGACCCAATTGATGAACCTTTTTCAATAATTATATCAAATAGTTCTATCATGCTTTGCCTTCTCTGAAAAATCAAAAAGTTCAAAATATGCCTAGATAGCTGTTGTCCCCCCTGTAACATTGAAAAACAATGTAAAATTATGCAACTTTGGGAACTTTGTATGCCACAGTGTGATGCAATGCCACTTTTTAATATTTTGTACCAGCAGATGGTCCTCTTATTTTTACGAAAATATAAATGTATTCTTGTTGTTACTGAACTATTGAAATAATGTACTTTCTGTCATTTTTGCAGAGATAAAATAAATTTAAAGGTCAACTTCAATGGCCTATAAAAGGGTCTGCCATATATGTTTACAGAACAGAATAAACATCATCTTAAAGCTTTTTCCTAGCATGTAGTTTAATTCCTCCAATTCTATTTCTTGGCCTGCAGTAAGCAGTGCACCCAATTTGAAAAGGGTTCAGGTTTTTATGATTCTTAGGGCTGAACTGTTTTCCTTCTTGGCCTGCCATAAGTGGTGCATCCAGGTCGAAAATAGTTTGGGCTACATTGACAAAAAAATGCAAAACAATCTGTTGAATGATTTCAATATGTCAACAAAGTTGAAATGGTAAATTGGCCACAGTTACGATTATAAAAGGTGATGTTTTGAGCGTTAGCCCTTCGTCAGAGCGACCAGAGGAATTGTGGGTTGTGTGTGCTTTTAAAGGCAGAAAATGGAGCTACGTGGTTGGTGGGAACATGGCAATGAGAAAAGCACAAATAAATTAGTGGAATGAAAAGCGTTCGTTGATACCTGTGGGATTTAGACTGCTGGTTTGAAAGATGAACTTTTGTTCAAGAGTTTTACGCCTTTCCGTGCTACCTAAGTGTGTTGCTTAGAAAAGCAACATATGGCAATCTGCGGTCTTTCCTTACACTTAGGTAGCACGGAAAGCCATAAAATTCTTGAACAAAAGCTCATCTTTCAAACCCGCAGTCTAAATCCCACAGGTATCAATGAACGCTTTTCATTCCACTAATTTAATCATGTTTCTCACGCTGCCATGTTCCCACCAATCACATAGCTCCATTTTCTGCCTTTAAAAGCACACACAACCCACAATTCCTCTATTTGCTCTGATGAAGGGCTAACGCTCAAAACGTCAGCTTTTATAATTGTAACGGTGGCCAATTTACCATTTCAACTTTGTTGACATATTGAAATTATTTCGTTACCCCCACCGATGCAGCCCCAAACAGTTTCTTTAGAAACTATCAGTCTTTATTAATCTGTTGAATGGATGTCACCCAAGAGGTCATCTATAAGCTATATTCTTGGCTAAGCTGAAAGATATTGACCATCACCTCCGGTGTGACAGCTGTTCAGTGGATTGTATTGAATCAATTAATTGAGAAGGTTAGGAATGTTCATCAAAAGGGTCCCTCAGGGAAAACAATTTTATGAATTATGAAATTTTGCAACCTTCAGTGGATTCTTGCTATTTATGGTCATGCAGTGGCTTTTAACATTACCACAGTGAACTTAAGGACACTTAAACATTTAACTTTAAAATTACAGGGTTGTTATTGTTTCTGCTTCTGGGTTTGTTTTCTGAGGTTCATGGTTAATTCTTAGTTCCACAATAGGCAGTTTAACCCTTCTATTATTATTTCTTAATAAACAGATTTGGATCTGCATTGGAACTGAAATATGAAATCAAACCTTCTAGTTTCAAAATATGAAACATTACTTCAACTTAGTCAGACCTCCTTGGAAATCTTTTTGTTCGTGTGTTTTCTACACTTCACAGCTGTGAATTTAATGTAGTTAACTTTACAACATTTTATTGTTTGAGCAGAGCACAACAGAGAAAAAAGAGTCCTTAGAGAGTGAACTTGCAAAAGTTACAAAGGACAGAGACCTGTCCATGAAGAAGAAAGATGAACTTACTGGAATTCTGTCTCAAGCAGCTCAAGCTCTTAGATCTTCATTAGTGGTAATAATAGTTATTTTTTATTTGGTTTTAACTCTTAAATCCCAAGATCTGATTCTCAATTCTCCCCTCTAGCTGCTACACATTTCCTTGAATGTAGATTGTAGTTACTGTATTTGCAAGAATTTGGTGTTAGATCAAGGTAACAACTTGTACCTGATAAGTCTGAGTATATTCTCGATCATTACTTGTTGGTTGGATGATGTCTGGATATTATAGGGAGAAGTTACATGTTAATCACTCTTGGGAGTCGTTGGGTTTAAAAGACAACCTAACTGAGTATGTGATGACTTAATTGGTCTAAATTGCTCATTAACTGGAATTGAATATTCCATTACATAAAAATGACTCATATAACTTGAAAAACTTTAGGCCTAAACAGGAATTGAATTTGTGCCACCTAGACCGGAATTGGGGACCACCACTAACTGCTATTATGAGAGTGCTGTTGCATAATTAGCAATTCATTCGAGCTATAATAATCATTAATCCTATTCATTCTGCCATTCACGTCTTGTCACAATATAAATGTTTGTTTATTAGTGTATATTGTCCCAACCATAACATATGCAGAAATGCTACCAAATATGTAAACTCGCGAGTTCCGTTCTATTTAACAATTATTCACCGAAGGCGAGGTGAATATGGTCCAATAATCCCTGAGACAAAGTCGAGGGGATTATTCGACAATATTCAACAAACCTGAGGCAAATAATTGTTTTAGTATAATTTCAGAGCTGAACAACAGTGAAATTTCTAAAATCATAAAATTTTAGTAACATTTATTAACATTTTACTTTAACATTTTATATAAACCACGTGGAGCGGTTTATATAGCTTCATATAAGGAACCACTTGACCAATCAGATTGCTGGAAACTTTAATTGCTCAGCTCTGAAATTATACTAAATAGGATTATTACTTTGGTTACTGTGTATATGAATAAAAAACTTTTTGCAGAACCGAGTAGTTAACAAGTGCCCTGCAATCACTAATGTTGGTAGCACCCAACTGGTATCGGGGAGGAACTGGTTCAGTCCCTGTTGAAGCCTTCGTCAAAATCAGATTTATCTCAGATATGTTAATTTACTATTTGTGATATCTGCAATTTATTTTCTTATTTGGTATCAAAAGTACGTATATAGTAAGAACTGAAAACTATATACTGTACAAGTGTACAACAGATTTTGACTGCCAAAATGCAGTGCAAATTACTGGATAATTTAAAAAAAATTGTCAGTTTTATCAATTTGTATTAACTAACCTTTTTTTTTTTTCACGGCATTACCGCAGTAGGGCAGGACTAGAACGGAACCTATGCGAACCATACGAGTAGTCCAACCAATAAATCCCACCCATCCCACCCCAGGGAAGGACATCCATCACACAGTAATCCTGTGCGTGGGAAATTAACGTCTCCTGCCCCTAACCCTGTAGGAGACGGGACCTCCATTTATTCGGCCCTATCCGAGAAGACTAGAATTATGGTTGTCTTGCTCCACAGAAAGAAGTAAACTAATTTTATATTTCCATTGAATTAATTTGGCAGGCACCCACGGTTGTCAATGGAAAGCCAGATGAAGCAGAAGCCATTGCTCAACGTGAGAACCTTGTTCAAACACTGCTAGGAATCTTGAATGATGCAGTTACATTTGGTGTGGGACCCAGTGCCAAAGATTTCATGCCACCTCGTAAGACTAGCGGGTATTCAAGCCCAAGCCCTGATATAGGAAGACACATTCATAAGAAAAAGGAGTAAGTGATCAGTATGAGCTCTGAATTGTCGTTTCTTACATCGTCAAGACACCAGTTGTAAATAAGATTAACTCTTTAAATCCCATGAGTGACCAAACAAGAATTTCTCTTTACATTATCGAGCAGAAAAGTAATGAGAATATAGAAAAGTTCAAATTTGAAGGATTATTAGTTAATCCAATACCAGATTCTCCAAACTAACATTATAAAAATCATATAGCAGACAGTAAAGTGAATAAGAAAGGGATCTTGGGAGTAAAAAGACTTTAAATCAGGGAAAGGGAAACAAAAATTAATCACAAGGGCTGAGATGAGGTAACTATGGTGGTCAGTCTGGCCATGGGCGTGTTCTAAGAAAGTGTTGACATGTTTGAAATTGAGGGGGTGAGGTATGTAGTAAAGCCCAATCTTCCTGTCTCCAACGTCCTTGGCAATGAACATTCTTCAAGTTAGTGTATTAAGGTTTACTGTCTATTAAAAGAACTGGAAACTCACACAAGTCAAAATTTACGTCAGGGAATTTTGATCCGTGTCAGTTGCCAGTTCTTGAAGAAGGAACCCTTTTTACATGGCTAGACGTAACTGGCACATTGACTCTGATAAAAGGAAAACTGAGAAAAGGTTTCTAAGACTTCGTCGTTTATGTAGTGATGACTCTGATTTTTTTCACAAATCAGAGTCTACGTGCCAGTTTTTCGAAAAACGTGGTTACCTGTTTTTGTCGTTCAAGCTGGTAACCATCGCGCCCAACTTATTGATAGACATTCAGCACTACAAACGTCCCAGAAGGAAAATTCTGACCGCGTTCCATTTACCCTCACATTTCACCCTCACAACCACTCAGTTAAATCCATTATTCTTA